CTAAAAGGCAAAAAAAAAAAAAAAAAAAAAAAAAAAACTTACCGGTGAATTCACCTCCGGTTACTCTAAAAAAAAAAAAAATCTAATATTAAATTTCTAAAAATTTATTCAAAGATTGTCCTTGAAACAGAATATACAAACCTTGGAGCACTTTCATTATATCATAATTTGGGATTCATAAGGGATAAACGTCTTTACAGATATTATCTTAATGGTGTGGACGCGTTTCGGCTAAAATTATTTTGTAAAAGAGAACAATTGGATGAAAAAAGTTCGGATGGGGCAATATGTGATAAAGATTAGTTATAGTAATAAATCATGGTACGTATAATTCATAGGACGACTTTCATATGATTGGTAGATCTACCCGTGATTTCCCGTGATAATTAGCCAATCAAAATACATAATTTTTAAAAAGAATACTACTAGAGAACATTAATAATGCATGCAAAAAGAATTTGTCTCATTTTTAGAAATAGTTAAATCAATCAAAAAATTCTTGATGAGAAGAATCGAATGGTATAACCATTATCGAATTCTAACCGCTAGATCGTGAAATGTCTTTGATTTAGTAAAATAAAAATTTTAGGGGTTTAATTTATAGCGCTATAGTGCCGTAAGGGTTGTATTTTTTTAAAAAACGTTTAATAACTCAAAATTTGCATATGAAACTTCTTTTGAAAAAAATTCCTTGCCAAATTTTGGTATAAAACTTTCTTCAATATCGCCCTAACCCCATCTAACGAAGGCCCTAACCCTAAAGTAATATTACTGTATTTTACATATCAGATATAGGGTAGTGCCATGATGCTATAGCTCTATCACGTGCAAAAATAATAAGTTGCTTGACTTTTTTATTGGATGGATCGACCGACCCTGAGTCACGATTTTCAAATTTGGAAAGCTTGTGTAATAACTATTGTCCACTATGTAATCAAAACAAAGCTTTAGATAATGTCACGTGAATATCTGCATGATCTACAGAATTATATAATACGCGATTTTAGTAAACAATCCAAAAAAAAAAATCAAAATACGGCATTCATTATTTTGATGTTTATACTTTCTTTGACTGGTAAAATGGACAACGCATCATTCAATGGTGACATTAATGGGTCCGAAAGGGCCAAAAAACGAAGAAGAAGCAACGAACATTCTGTAAAAGAAGGGGAAAAAGCTATCAATATTCAAGTTGTTGTGCGCTGCCGCGCAAGAATCGAACGTGAAGTCGCCGCAAACTCGCCAATTGTTGTACAAGCTACTCCCCGTGAAATTAAAGTTTGGGCTAATTCTCAGGATATGATGCCGTATAAAACTTTTACTTTCGATAAAGTTTTTGGATCAGATGCTGATCAAAGTCGAATATTTGATACCATAGTAATTCCTATATTACAAGAAGTTAAAGCTGGGTACAATTGTACTTTGTTCGCATATGGTCAAACTTCTACCGGTAAGACTTTCACAATGGAGGGAAAACTTGACCTTTCTAATGGAACCATGAGTCCTGATGCCGGAGTTATTCCACGTTCCTTATATTATATATTCGATACTTTGGAGGCTGAGCAAGCTGATTTTTCGGTTAAAATATCTTATATTGAGCTATATAATGAAGAATTAAAAGATTTACTTTCCTCAGACAGTGATAACCGACAATTAAAGATCCTGGATGACGTAAATAGAAAATGTGTTCTTCATGGTCACGAAGAAATACTTATAAAAAATGCAGAAGATGGGATAAATGTGTTAAAACAAGGATCTATAAAACGTCAAGTTGCTCAGACAAATTATAACAAGAATTCTAGTCGATCCCATTCCGTATTCTGCATTACTGTTCATATTAAAGAAACGATGCCTGATGGGGAGGACTTATTAAAAGTCGGAAAATTCAACTTGGTAGATCTGGCGGGGTCAGAAAATATTAGTCGAACTGGCGCAGAAAACCTTCGAGCGAAAGAAGCCGGAAAAATCAATAAAAGTTTGCTAACTCTTGGACGATGCATTAATAGCCTCAACGAACATAATCAACATATTCCATATAGAGAAAGTAAGCTGACACGTCTTTTGCAAGATTCACTTGGCGGTCACACAAAAACTTGCATAATTGCGACAATATCACCAGCAAAACTAAGTTACGAAGAGACTATATCTACATTAGACTATGCCCAACGTGCGAAAAATATTCTTAATAAACCTGTTGCCAATCAACGCGTCACTAAAAAAGCTTTGATAAAAGAATATATTGGTGAGATTGAGCGATTGAGAGCCGATCTATTAGCTGCCCGAGAGAAAAATGGAATATATCTATCGCAGGATACTTATCAGAATTTAGTGGATGAAAATCAAAGTCGAAAAGATGAGAATGAGGAATTAAAGAAAGCGAATGAAAATATAAAAGCACAAGCAGAAAGATATGAAAAAGAAAATTATAGTATTAACAGAAAACTTATGCGCCAAACGTCTGTTAATAATCATAATCAAAGAGTATTTCAAGAATTTAAACATATGATGCTGTCCGTGACATCACAATTAGAATCTAAATATAATGAAATAAAGTCTGTACATATTGGATTTGGAGAATTGATATATAACAAGACAAGGGAGTTTATGGAACGACGTGAAAACGAAATTTCGGCTATTGTAAAATGCATCGAAGAACGTATTGATCGATCCATACAGCAAAAAGATCAGATTATTCAAATATTTGATAATCAAGAACAGGTTACTATTAATTTGAATACTGAGTTATCGAAATTTCAAGAAGAAACACAAAAGCTTATTGATCAGAAAGGTCAGGAATTACGAAACAATTTGTCCGCGACATTTGATACATTTCAGCATGAATTATCAAATCAATTCGAAAAAATGCGATCATATCAAGTAAAATTTGAAGAAGACATATCTTTCTTGATGAAAACAGCACAGGATCATATTGCATTACAAAATCAAGCAATCGCTTCTTTCCGTAGTTTCACACATGAAACATCCAATTCTCAAATAGATTGCATGATAGAGCAAAAACATCTTTTGACACAGCTTGCAGAGGAAGATGTTTTGATGAGAAAATCCATGGAAGAAGAAGTTTTAGCCAATGTGTTAGAAACACTTAAAAAATATGGAGATGCACATTCGGCTAAAATTGAGAATGTTATTAGTACCGTTCAGGATACAATTCAAAAGAATGTCGATTCTGTCAAATCGCTCAATGAAGCGTGTACTAATGCCGCAGATGAAATGAATACGGCAAATACTACTTATTTAGTCAACTTTAGTAATAAGTATGATGCTTCCAAGGAAAATCTATCAGCTTTAGAAAATGGAAACCGGCTAACGCGTGTTGATACCATAGAGAATAGCATATACACTCAACTAGACGAATGCAAAGATGTATTTAAATCGAAGATATTATCGTTGGATACATTTGCAAGTGCCGCAGTTAAAGAGTCGTCAGAACTACAAAGACGACATGTCCAGTCTTTCAATTCATTTGCTATGGATGTAACTCAAGGCTTTTCCGAATTCCAGAAACAATTTCTCAAATCACGAGTAGAATCTGAAATTATGACAAAGAACGTCTTTGATTTGAACCAAGCTAATACAAGTGCGGCTAGCGGTTTATATAACAATTTTGCTAACCAAGTCCATCAATCTCGTGAAGAAATTAGTTTGATTGCAGAAAAGTTTAATGATCCTGACACTAAAATTAGAACCCCTACAACAAAACGTAGTCATTTTCTCAACATCACAAATCTTCCATGAATGTAACTTTATACAAATAAACAACATTTTTTATATCAATTGCAAGTGCAATATATTTATATAATGATTCAATTTTATCTTTATTAACATTTAAAATCCAGAATAAATAATAACAGTAATGAATATTAAATATTTATAGAAATTGAATTGAATTACCAGTATTACTTACCACATTGGATTTAGGAATGGAAATTCTTTGCTTCCAATCATTTTTAGATATCCCAACTTTAGTAATTTTTCGATAGTCGGATCAGCCTTTCTAACAATTGCTTGAGAGCCTTTTCGAAATTCGATATATCCGTTTTGTGTCATTAAATCACCTAAATGTATACAATTAGTAATAATAATAATAATACTCTAAAGATTTAAATATATTAGGCGTTACCGATATCCTTAAGCACTCTAACAGTGGTCAATGCTTCTTTAGGAGGTACTAGGGTGGCAGACAAATTAAGAGAAGGTGGGTATTCGCATTTATACTTTCTTAGTAAATCGCTATACTTTGAATGAAAAATTCTCTCTCTTTCAGATAATTTTAACCTCATTTCTTGGGATAGCGGTAGTTCTTGGATTGCAAAGAATTTGATTTTTTCGGATCTTTGGGAATGATAAAGTTTTAAAACTTTTAAATCATGATTTTGAACTAGCTGAATTAATAATTTTGTTTCTATAATTTAAAAATAAAGCTGAGAAATGGTATAAGAAAATTTTTATTGAAATATAAAATAAAATATTAATAACCATCTTCGGGATTATTTAAGTCATTAAGACTTTGGTCGTTTAAAGATTCGACGTGGTCTTGCAAAATGCTTATTTCGTCAAGAATCTCGCGAATTTTATCGCCTTCATAAAGTGAAATACTTTGAATTTTTCTCGTACGTTTTGCTGTATCGATTAATGGAACTGCAGTTTCTCCGAACATTTTATATTTTTAAAGAATCTATATTATTGACACGACTTTTATTCTTAAATATGTTGTTCGAACATAAGACGCGAACACTGTGAACAGTATCATGTGATGATGAGTTCTATTTCAAAACATCCAATTAAATTTCTATCACATGTGTTAAAGAAAAAATCATTTTTATCAATTTTTTTTTTTTTTTCTAATTCGAAGATAGCCAATCCAACCTTTTCAACTTAAAAATTTAGTACGCATTTAAAGAGATTTCTAGTTTATTTTATCAAAATTAATATTTAAATCTAATTTATCATTATTATTTTCTTTTTTTTGCATATAGTAAAATGGAAGACTTGACTTGGTAAGATTATTATCATTTAGCAATAGTTATAATAAATCAAATTATATATATATATATATATATAAAATATTAGGCTTCTCGTCAGAAACCATAGCTCGTTTATGGTAAAACGTAATGGCGCACAATTTACCTCGGAACCTAATAATTTGACAAATTTGAATTCATTCAAATATTCAGGACTTGCCTGTAATAAGGTAAACATTATGTATCTGAATGTTACAATAATAAAATGAATACTCAAATGATGTTAATAAAAATGTATAATTTGAAAGACAATTGGTATAAGCTCAGTAACTGTTAAAGATGGTAAAGGTGTGGTAATTTCCTCAAAAAAAGCCAAAGTTCCGTTTTATAAACCGGCAAAAACTACTCATAAGGTAACCCTTTCAAGGGGTATTCGTAAAGCAGCCGAAAGTTTCACCAATGCTTTTACACGAGCAGGATATCGCCCAGATTTACGCAAGGTAAAAAAAATTTTTTTTTTTTTTAACACTTAATCATCATTAATTATCCGGAGAAATATGTAGAGAAAAAAACTCGCAATATTGCTAGAGCCCATTAGAAATAGAATTAATATATATGAAAGATGGGTGTACATTTTAAAATTGCTATAATGAATGGTCCTGCAATGATTATCATCTCGTCATTTGAAGAGACTTTATGATTTCAAATACTGGATACATATAACTTTGAACATATACTCAAAAATCATTGCATATTTATAGGAAGCACTTGCACGTATTTCGGCTATATATCTAACTCAGAAACCTACCAAGGTTCACGCAAGAAAAACTAGTAGTCGTCACAGCAAAAAACAAAAGTAAAAAAAAAAAAAAAATGATAACCATCGAGTAGACAATTTTTATCTTAAGGTTGAATAAAAGATGGACACACTTCTTTTAAATTATCATTAAGAATTAAATCAAATGACTAGTTAAATAACTTGATTCTGTGAGCGAATAATGTTTCATGCATAATACTTACCTTATTCTTTAAATAAGATAGAAATCTAAGACCTTTAATTTTTTTAAAAAAATAAAATAACCTATCAATCAAGTAAGTATATGCGAGAAGCTATATCACCGACAATCCAATCCATCCCGCGAAGTAAATTTTCACCAGTAACAGCACTACAACTTTGAATTGCCCAATGATGGGTTACAATTGAATCGAGGTCAAGTCCCTAAATTTTATGTTTAGTAGTAAAAATCATAATTATATGTGAAATTTCAAATAAAAGTGAAACATAAAGTACCTGGCGAATCTGTAGGTCAGTCAATGCACCAGGAAGGTCTTGCTTATTAGCAAAGACTAATAATGAAGCACCAGCCAAGCGCTATATTTTGAACATAATCATTATAATATCCTGTTTAAAATATAAGTACAAATAAAATAATTATTACCTCCTCTAGTAATAACGCTTGCAATTCCTTCTTGCAATCATCTAAACGCATCCAATCAGCACTATCTACAACCCATATTACGCCGTCAGTTTGTTCAAAATAATTACGCCAATAAGATCTTATAGACTTTTGACCGCCGACATCAAAAACGTGTAATTTAAAACTTTAGATAAAGAATCATTTTTAATCATCGATTCTTTTTTAATAGGAAAATAGTGCACAAGTTTAGCAAAAAAGATATGAATACCCATTATGTTCTAAAGTTTTAATATTAAAGCCTAGAGTTGGAGAAATAGTATCAATGTTTTCACCATTTAAACGCTTCAAAATAGTAGTTTTTCCCGCGTTATCTAGTCCACTAATAAAAACCATTTAACAGAACATAGTTGTGAATGATAAAATTGATAGAACATGTAAATTACTTACAGTACAAGTATCCTTATTTCCTTTTCTTTTTGGCGAATTTTTCGTAGAATGGTTAAAAGACCCATAACGATAATACCAATTTTAACACCAATTTAGGGATGGTTAATATTAACGTTACGGGTTCATACCGGCACATGATATAAATGAGTGTCGTTTTTGACACATCAGATAAAATTTAATAAAGTGGTTCAAGAATTATCGTACTTAAATATTAAAATTCGATTTAAAAAATGTCTAATATATCGATATGTGCATATTATTTGAGTGGTTGTCGGATCGAAAGTTCACTATATTTTACTATGGCTAAAAGTTCACACTCTAAAATAAAGGGCCAGGCGCCAGATCACTTCTAAAATTTTATGCTATAACCCCCAAAAATTAATTTTGTATACTTTAATTTTTAAAATTTATTTATATAAACATGTAAAGCTAACAAAATCTCTAATAAAATTAATTAAAAATAACTGATTTTTAAAAATATCAATAATTTTCAAACCCAACAACCAACAAATAATTTTATATTTATTCTTAACCTGTACATTTTTAAAAAATTTTTTAACTATATTAATGTTTTATAAAAAACTTTAAAATTTATATATTTTATTTTCTGGCTCAAGTTGTCTCGCACTATATAAAAAATATGTCCGAATTTTACTATCACATCATTCCCATCCCTCCCATCCCTCCCATACCACCAGCACCAGCACCCATACCAGCACCTTTATTTTCATCTGTAATAAATTATAAATTAGACTTGTTTATATGAAACAAACAAATTATCAATGAATTTTTTAGTAATTTACAAACCAGGTGCATCAGTAATCATGCATTCCGTTGTTGTTAGCAAACTTGCAACCCCAGAGGCATCAACAAGAGCGGTTCTCACGACTTTCAAAGGATCCACGATACCACGTGCAATCATATCACCATATTGACTAGTGGCAGAATCATAACCATAGTTAAAATCACCTCCATGATCATCCATTAGTTTACCTACAACTACAGAACCTTCTTCACCAGCATTGTCAACAATTGTTTTTGCGGGTTTTTGAAGGGCAGTTTTTATGATATTTACACCTAATTGTTGATCAAAATTTGAAGGTTTTAAGGAATCCAAACATTTGATAGATTTCAAAAAGGCTACACCACCACCAGGTACAATCCCTTCTTCGACAGCTGCACGTGTAGCATTCAAAGCATCAACAAACCGATCTTTTTTTTCATTAACTTCAACTTCCGAAGAACCACCTACACGAATAACAGCGACACCTCCAGATAATTTTGCAAGTCTTTCTTGCAACTTCTCTTTTTCATAATCAGAGACACTTGGGTCATTAATAACAGCGCGAATTTGATCACAACGCTGATCAATACTCTCTTTAGAACCTTCTCCATTTAGAAGAATGGTATCTTCCTTTGTAACAGTAACAGATCCTGTAGAACCATAATGTTCTGGTAAAGCACGTTCCAGTTTTATATCCAAGTCATCAGAAAAAACAGTACCACCGGTCAAAATTGCTAGATCTCCCAAAATAGATTTACGATTATCACCAAATCCAGGAGCTTTAACAGCGGCTACCTGAAGGTTTCCGCGAAGTTTATTTAATATACAGGCAGCCAAAGCTTCACCATCAATATCTTCAGAAATAATAAGAAGTGGCCTACGTTGTTGAGCAGCAGCTTCCAAACTTGGAAGAATATCTTGTAATAAAGAAATTTTTTTTTCAGAGAGAAGAATAAGAGGTTTTTCAAGTTCAACTTTTTGAGTTTTAGTATCAGTTATAAAATAAGGAGAAATGTATCCACGATCAAAACGCATGCCCTCAGTTATTTCTAATTCATCTTCAATAGTTTTTCCTTCTTTTACAGTGATCACACCTTCTTTTCCAACTTTTTCCATAGCATTGGCAATAAGTTTACCAACATGAGTATCACCGTTTGCAGATATCGTTGCAACCTATAAAATATAATAATGTTTATAAGTCATCTAAACATTGATAATAAAAAATAATAATAATAATAAAGGTAAATTGATATAAAGATAATAATTATACTTGGGCGATTTCTTCGCTCGAAGTAACGACACGACTATTATTCCTTAAAAATTGGACAATTGCATCCACAGCTAATTGAACACCACGACGAAGATCCATCGGATTACAACCAGCAGCAACATTTTTCACACCCTCAACAAAAATAGCACGAGTAAGAACCGTAGCAGTAGTCGTACCATCACCGGCAACTTCATTTGTCTTATTTGCAACGTCTTGAACCAGTCTATTAATAAAAAATTATGATAATTGTGATAATTACGCGTAAGTTACTGACTCACGTTGCAAATAATGACTTTTTTATGGTCAATAGGCTTAACGAAGTCTTATGTACTATAATAATTTTCTTATCGAATGATAAAACGCGCAAATTTTGACATTGACACGCTATTTTATATAATAAATTTGAACATATTTTCGTTTACCTGGCACCAAGATTTTCAAATTTGTCTTTAAGTGTTATACTTTTAGCAACTGTGACACCGTCCTTTGTTATTTTCGGACTACCATAAGCTTGTTCAATCAACACGTTACGTCCCTTAGGACCAAGTGTAACCGCGACTGCCTTTGAAAGAAGTTCAACACCTTGTACCAGAGAGGCTCGTCCTTCGATACCAAATTTGAGTTCTTTATGACTAGAATAATATCGCAATAGTACTGGCGTTCGAGAACTTTTAGATAATGCTGATAATGTTGTGAGACGTGTTGGAATGCAAGTGACTGGAGATTTTTTAATTGAAACGCGCAGCATCATGTATAATTTATAATATAAAAAATAAAATATATCGTTAAATTTTTAGGAAGAGAGTAAAAAAAAAAATTGGCGATGAAAAATTTTTATTATCGAGATGATAAATTTAATTGGTCAAACAATTAGATTTTTCCATCAAATTCTACTATCGGAAAAGTCGGAAGATATCTTAATGGGAAGGTCATCGCGATTGTTAATCTTTCTAAAAACTTCTTTAACTTTCCATGAAAAAATATTCCATCAGTGATTGGTAGCATTCAAAAAAAAAAAAAAAAAAAATCGAGATCTGATCCGCTTACATACTTGTATAAAAATTTTTTTTTTATCATACTCGACAAATTCATAATTAAACTGAATTATCCTTTTTATAAAAAATGACAATGGTACGCGTTAATTTTCCTTGTTGAAACTTTATTAATCTCTGGTGTACTAAAGCATTTTTTTTTTCCTCTACCATTTTATTTTATTTAAAAGTATACTGCTGTCAAAAACGTTAAATCTATTATTCCCCTCCTAGATCGCGTACTTGTACAACGCATTAAACCACAACAAGTAAGCTAAATAAGCTATAATTAATTTTTTAATATATTCAATAAACTTAAAAGTTCAGATATATTTGTTAGAAAACTGCTGCTGGTATTCTGATTCCTGAAAAATCATTAGAATCACTGAATGAAGGAAAAGTTATAGCAGTAGGTAAAGGAGCTCTTGATAAGGTAATGTTCAAAATTCGTGTAATATCAAAGATGAAATTATTAATATTAAATCATTGACACGTAATTTTAATTTAATCGCGTATAATCATAAAAAAGGATGGAAAACACATTCCAAATCAAGTAAAACCTGGGGATCGTATTCTCCTCCCATCATATGGTGGGAGTACTATTAAAATTGAAGAAGAGGTATTGGTTATTTGATTTAAGATTGTTTTATATTATGATAATTAAAAACTCATTTTTATACATTGTATTAGGATTACTCTATCTTTAGAGATTCTGAAATCTTGGCTAAAGTTGATGAATAGGTTACAACCCAAACTTTTTTTTTTTTGAATTATGACCATTACTAGAGGATTTCTAGTGCCAAACTCAAAACCAATCAAATTCGTTAAATCTAACCTTAGCAACTACGCAGTAGATGTTAAATAAAATGATGTTAGTTCTAATAATTATTATCAATATACAATAAAGTTAAAAATAAATGTCTTAATAATTTTTTAAAAAGTAAAAAACCTTTAGTAAAAATCGATCATTTATATACCAGAGATTTATTCTAATCGTATGGATTAATTGTAGAGGAATTCAAGAATTTTAATTTAAAATACTAGATGCCTGGTTTTGTTTCTACCAGTAGTTATATGCTTATCCTCAAAGATTAAGTCATAGATATAATAAATCGTTTACGTATAAACTGCGAATGGAAAATATGGACAATATAGACCAATGGCATGGACATAGCACTTAGTCCAAATTAAACATAAAATTTTGATTGGTCAAATTATATCTAGTAAATTTTGTCGTGAAACTGAAATTTTAAAATTTTTAGGGCCTTTTTGTAGCGGGTTAGGGTTTAGGGATAGATAAAGGGTATATGTATATTGGTATTTTGGATTTAAATGAGGACTCTAAATTTCAGCATCATCCGATTCACGATCAATTTTATTAACATTAATAATATTATAATCTTTGACAGTGAAAAACTTTTGATCCGCTGATCTGTTTTGAACCCTCGCTAAAATACAATCACAGGATCACGAGATAGTTATAGAATTGTATCGTTTTAGATGTCTTAGAATTAGGTTAATTACTTTAACACAGATCCATAATGATTTCTTGATCCTGTAATTGGATCTTGGAGATTTTGGATTCTAGAATCGTCTCATTGCGATAGTTATTATGGTGTAAATCATCCGAAACGGACCAGTGGATCAAAAGTTATTTACTGTCAAAACATGGGCACTATTTTGATTAGTCCATGTCCAAATAAATTTTTATTGGACATAGTCCAAATGCCAACCTGGTAATTTAGAGCTAACGCTAATACATACGATTTCGGAATTTTATTGGAGCAGAGGTATTTCACATATAGAGCTTCGTTATTCGAATAATATTCGTATTCGGTGAAATAATTATCTGATGAATAATTCGAATAATAAATCTTATTCGAATAAGCAAATTTATTTGAATAATCGTCATACGTAGTATCTACATATTGAGCTGCTTCACTACATATTATTATATAGATAGGAATTCACATATTATTATAGTTTACACCCTATAGATGATCAATTTTTTTTTTTTTTGCCCTTGTTTAATGTTACACATTTATTTAGCTAGAGCGAATAATGCAAACTTATAAATAATACTAACGAAACCAAAGTGTTTTTAAAGACGCAAATTTTTTTTGAAAGATTTTATATGTATTGCATGTCATATTAGAAGTTAGAAAAATTTTAACAAAATATAATTCGGTAACTATTTAGCCTGATACAGATTTTAATTCTGACTAGGATAAATAATTAGTTTTTTATGTTTCTAGGATCGATCTTTCTATGATAG